AGTGGCACAGCGGTATGTCTGCGGACTTACAACGCTAGAAACCGGGTTTCGATACCCGTGGTTGGCAGAGCACAGATAGACCATTGTGTAGCTTTGTGCTTAATAACAAACAACAACTTACATATAGTGTGATTTTGTTTTAAACCATTATTTCGACCTTCGGAAGATTTGATTCCAACTTTGGTTATAACTGTAGTATGTTAGTGCCTAGTGTATGTTTTTAGTCCTAGACTGAACTGTAATGTCGTATCAGAGCTCTAGATCAAATATATAATTTACTAGAATAAAACATTGATTGTGTTCAATAGTCAATCCAATTCATGTTAGCTAGAAATTTTTAAAATTCCACAGATTAAATTTCAAACTTAACGATACGCTTTCTGGGATAACCATTTCCCAGAACTGTACACGACCATAGCTTTAAACTACACCAATAATAATAAAAGAAAAGTATAGCAACCTGTTGATTACGACTTCGCAAATACCATGGATAGGACTAAATAAAAAACCTAAAAGTGAAGAGATTCTTTACTATTGATATTGAAATAAAGAACGATTGTCAACTTAACCCTCATTAGCACATGTTTTTTAGAATTAATATGGCCACTTTTATAAACCATTCCTGTATAATTGGAGTTGAAATGTATGTGTAATTTATATATATCGTAAATTGTCAAGTTAGCTGAGATATACACTCGTTGATTTATTGAACGTGAATAGCAGTTTACAATCCCATGTTAATTTTATTAAATCAGTTCGTAGATATGTTTGTTTGTTTGTTTAATTTCGCGCAAAGCTATCTGCGCTAGCCGTCCCTAATTTAGCAATGTAAGACCGGAGGGAAGGCAGCTAGTCATCACCACCCACTGCCAACTCCTAGGCTACTATTTTAGTAACGAATAGTGGGATTGACTGTCACATTATAACGCCCCCACGGCTGAAAGAGAGAATATGTTTGGTGGGACGGGGATTCGAATCCGCAGCCCTCAGATTGCGAGTCGAACGCCCTAGCCACCTGGCCATGCCGAGCCCCGAAATCGATATGTACATGTATAAAATATACATGAAATTTAATTAAACGAAGTGTACATTTTCAAGTTGTCGTGCACATATCTTAAAAATAGGTTATTTCATAAGATTAATGAGAGATTACAAGTCTGATGAATCAGATTTTCAGGAGAGACAAAAACTGGGTTTTATTATATTACATTAACATTTTATCATAGCACGTTGCATACATAAATCAGAACTAAACACCATCCCGATAATAAATATAAGTAATTTAATATACAGCCCTTACGTTCTTACTTATAATGATTAGGATGCATTATTTCTTTAGTGGGTACCCTTGATATTAGCGATATTTTCGGCCGTAATTCCAATAATACCTTTCAAGGTGGGCCAGCACAGGTTGGTCTTAAATCCATAGATCAAGGTAATGTTTCAAAGTAATCCGTATAAGAAAAATCAATAACAAATTAAATATGTATTATACATTCTGATCAATACTGTTAATTAAAGTAACATTAATGAAAGAATAGAGTATAACTTTTATATTACTGTTATTGACCATTCAGTTTTCTCTATACGTTTTGTCCCATACAATAGGAAATAACTGAATAACTAAGGTGAGCGTGCCCGTAGTGTAAATCCGAGGGTTCATGGTTCGCGTTCTATTGCTGTAAAAATCGTGTTCCGCTCTTTAGGTGTGCTATAAAAATGACGAATCGGTCAGACGACAGACCCCAAAAGCCAAGTAGATGCTTTTGAATAGCTAGTTGTTTTTCCTCTTGTTTATTAGTTTAAATTCCCCAGTGGGTCAGCGGTAAACTTACGGACTTGGAACGTTAAAATTCGAGGCTCGTTTCCCGGGGTGAACAGAGCGCAGGTGGTCTACTGGTACGAACATGCGCTGATAGCCTTTAAGTAATTTCACACGAAAATTAAAGAAAAACGTCTTTACTTATAAAAGGAAGATGAAGATACTTAGTTGTAATAGCCCACAGTGAAAGTCCGTGTATAATACACATCTATAATAACTGACACTTGAAACCGTCGGTACCTGGTGAAATTCGGTACTTACAGAATTGTATATACACTGGTGTATATATATATATATATATGTAGGTCAAACAGTACGTTCCATAGAAATGAGAATTAACGAACATTCTAGAAGCTGGAAAATGGATTCAACCTTTGCTTCCCACCTTATTGAAACTAAATACCGACTTGATCCACAAAAAAACAAAAACTGTAAAATTTTACATATCTGTGAAAAAGATAAAAAAAAAAGCTAGACAGTCTGGAAATTTTAGAAATAAATGTCTAAAAACAAACCCAGAAAAAGTTCTAAACGACCAAACCAACATAAGCTCCTCCCAACTTCTTACGTCACTTGTCTCAAGGTGAATGTCAAGGTCACTTCCGGTTGGATTTTTAAACATATATATATATATATATAAACCCTGCTACAAGATATTTTACTCTGTATCGGATGATGGCTTTACTGGCGAAACTGTGGTCGTAATAAATGATGTTCGAAACGTAAGACTGTCTTGTTTTCCTCAACTCTGTAAGTATGTTCATGTAGGTGTACGGGACGCCACTTTGTTTCCTGTCATTATATTTCTTCGATCATACCCTACTGTCATAGTTATTATTTAACACTTAAATTAATAAGAATGGGTTTGTTTTGTTTATGGCTACTAGCGCTACTAGCGCTACCTGCTAATTTTGAGCTAATGACCAGAGGGAAGTCAATCGCTGGTAGCACTCGTCGCCAAGTCTTTGGCTACTCTTTGTCAACGGACAGTGGGATTGCTCATCACACTGTAATGCCCTAATCTTAGAGAGTGTTGTTGTTGTTGTTCAGTGCTGAGTTTTGTTTCTGCGATCCCCATGTTGTAATTCTAGCACCCTAATCACCGGGAGAATAAGGATGTGTTAAATTTTCTTACAGTTCCTAAAGTTTACAATAGCTATGAGTCTAATAATATTTGGGATAATTTGGAAGCAACGCAAGCACTATTATTGTTAAACTTAATTTGTAAGATATTATTTTAAAATGTTTTCTTTCTAATTTATTTCCTGAAAATAATATTGTTTTGAAAATTACTAATTCAAAAAGAAAACCTTGATTAACGTTATTTATTCACACTAGGTGGAGTTAAAACGGCCCTGTTAGTATGAAGCTGATGAAATGGGTAGGAGGACACTTCGGTCGTTCGCGTCGTAAGGGAAAGAGAGACGGAGAGAAAGAACAACCAAGAGAAAATCTTGAAAGATTAGAACCCCTTTCTCATGCAAATTGCTACCCTCAGCAGGTTGTAACACAACTTCCTAGAGGCTGTTACACCCCTCAACTCTTTCCGAGACATGAAAGGAAAGTACCAAACATACGTACAAGTTTCCTTGATCTCGCTGCTGCCCATGATGTCAACTCGCCACGCCAACGATCCCGAATTCGAACGAACCCTTGGCTAAGCTGCACCCGAAGTTCAATTTGTGGCTCCGTTGACAGCGGCTGGAGCGGATCTTCATTTTCTAGCTCTTCGGAAGCATCTGACGTAAAAGAGACCAGAAACAGAACCCCATCTGTGCCCTGGATTTCATCGTCATCCACCAGAAGTGGACGAGACGTCAATTCACTTACAACCTTGCAGACGTCTTGTCAGACAGGATGGGACGCAAAAGAACCTTATCGACTGTATTCCAATCCAAATACAATTAAATCCAATTTTAAATCTCAGCCAAGTCTCGAACGCGTGAACTACTGGCTTGCCCCACCAGGGCTGACACCTTGTTACAAATCTGAAGCAAATGTTTGTACTTTCGAGGTGGAAAACCCATTCTCTGAAAACTGCCATTCTTCTGAAGATATATGTAAAAACTCCATTACCGAAGAGAGTTTTAGCTCTGATGTCGACAGCGCGTGCGGTACTAGCATCAGCATCACACCGCTTTCCGAGACCGTAGCCAACGACGTCAGTGACCTTGCAGAATCACTGGACGACAAGGTTAAGCGTTTGATAGTTGAGCGTCATTTTGTCGAGGAGAAAATCACTCGGATCCGCGAAGAAGAACAGTTAGACAATGAGCAGAAACTGCGACTCCACCAGGAGCTCTTGGAATATCGCAGGGACCTGGTAATGCGTACTTTGAAAGGACTTCGACTTCGTGTTGAGCAACAAAATGAGCAGTTACGTAGATCATTCAGCAAAAACCAAGAACTGAGGACAAATGAGGCTAAAATATGAGTTTGGTTCAATTTTATTTTATTCATTATTTCTGTTTTGTTTTAATCCAGGTCTTATTTATTATACTTGATACTTTTTCTGAGCACACTGGACATTGTAAGTGAAGGAAATGTAGAAAAAAGTTCGAATGATTGTTACTTTCTTTGTTTTAGCTAAAGTTTATCTTCAATGTCGTTTTTGATTTAATTATTAATTCATTGTTTAGCATTTTTAAAGAAAAGAGAAAATTTTATGTAAATTTTTTTCGTTGCCAGGAATCATTGCTGTCCGGAGTATCGTAACAAAAGGAAAAACGTATGTTTGTAAAATTGTCAGCACTAAAAATATGTCAGTTTTCAACAGAGGTATAATTATAGAAAAACAATAATAATTAAACAATATGGTTAGTATTTTCACACTGTGGATCACACAAGCTTAATAATAAGGTGGTCTAGATATTAATATGTCAGTTTTCAACAGAGATATGATTATAGAAAAACAATAATAATTAAACAATATGGTTAGTATTTTCACACTGTGGATCACACAAGCTTAATAATAAGGTGGTCTAGATATTAATATGTCAGTTTTCAACAGAGGATATGATTATAGAAAAACAATAATAATTAAACAATATGGTTAGTATTTTCACACTGTGGATCACACAAGCTTAACAATAAGGTGGTCTAGATATCAATATGTCAGGCTGAGGACCATGGGTCCAAGACTATGATTTTGTTGAACACGTTTACGCACTCACAGCTGTGGGCGCGTTATAAGTGCGACAGTCAATTCTGCTATTCGACCCAAAGAGCTAGACAAAGCCCTCGTGGCAGCAGGTCTTGTTGGCTTTCTGTCTTCCCTCTGGTCAGTAGCTCAAACTAGATACAGCTTTTCCCGAATTTTCGTTGTTTCTAATTTGGTCGTATACCCACGTGCACTAAAAAGTACCGATCAAGTTAAACCACATTTGTTAAGAGAGAAAAAAAAAATACTAAAGTTTACGACTTATTGGTTTATATTAGTTACTTTGACCGTGTGTGTTTTCGTGATAAAAACAGTCAGGTATCATGGAGTATTCTATCGCTTACCTGTACTTTTAATTTTAGAATTCATTTGAGGTGTTTATGAGTCATATATTCTTGTTGTACGTTTATCTATAAAGCTGTGTTATTGCTCTGGGCTGCTTCGCCGAATGCAGCCCATTGGTGGGATTTCCGGGCTGCAGAGCCAAGATTCTCCAGTTCCGTCGTTCGCGTCCTATTTCAGCCAGAAACAAACATCACGCTCTACACTTTAAGACCGTTATTTTCCAGTTTGACAAACGAGAAGACCCAAAGTGGGCGTTGACAGGCGGTGATTGGCTGCTGACCATCTAGTCTACTCGTTCAATATTAAGGACGGCTAGCGCAGATAGCCCTCATGTTGTTATGTCCGATACCCAAAGACAAACAAGACAACTGGGCTTCTAGAAAGTACAAGTAACTGAACTGAACATAGCTCTATTTACAACTGTTCGGGCGTTTGCCCTTTTCGGAAGGTTAAGCGGACAGCGATCTCTGCTACCTGGGGAAGAGCATTCTTTGAACCCTCAACTCCACTCCAGGTTGTTTAGCGGGTAAGCTTGAGGGCTTGTAGGATAAAAATCATGGTTCAGTTCCAGATAGCCCATTGTGCAACGTAAAGCAAACGAATCGTTCAAAACCCCATTATAGGTTAGTAACAGAGAGTATATACAGATGATATATTGCTGGTTGCATGCTTCTTCATACATTTTAAACGTACATAGTTTAGCAACATCTTACGTGTGTGTACTAAGCCTTTGAGTGTCGTTCACAATGCATCAAAATCGTATCTCGTCTTTGTTAATTACTGTTCCCTAATAACGCTAAAAATAGGCTTTCGATACACGCGGGTGGCACAGTGCGGGTAGCCCATTGTGTAGCTCTGCGCTTATAAACAAACATTTACTAACTTCCTCCGGTGAATAAAGTTCCAATCCCTACGAGTGGGATCTACGTTTTAATATACTTTTTTCAATTGATACTTGATATTATGTTTCTTCTATTTTCTCATCTCAGAGTCATGTTATCAGTATGTTTACAGTAGTTGTCATTTCGTGGTTCGAACCACGTTACTTTGTCTCAACTTCTTATTTAAACAGAATAGCGGCTGTGTATTTCTCCAACTAAGTCGCTTGTTGATGAGTAAACGTTAAGTCTTATTTCTTTTATATCACAACCAGAGAGGCCCGGCATGACCAGGTAGTTAGGGCACTCGACTCTCAATCTGCGGGTCGC